ATAAAGTAATGTATATTTATATAATAACGTAATGTAAATTTATAATTATAAAGTAGTGTAAATTTATAAAGTAATATAAATTGTTAAAATATTATAAAATAATGTAAATCAGCATTAGTAAAACATTGTCCATTTCTATTGTTAAATTTTCAAATAAAAATATGGTAAAAATTTGCATTACATGATTAACGAAGAAATGGAGTATGATTAAACATGTAAAGAAGAAATCTCGACCTTCCGCCGTGCAGAAATATCGGCCATGACGGTCTAATCCAATCGAAGCATCGATGTATGCAATAATGTTTATTTGATCGTACGGGTACGTATGGCATATTAGAGCGCGTTCACATATGTGGTATGGGAAGTGTACATACTGCATGCGTGTCAACACTCTGCCTATCACGTAGCTTATTACATACACGAAGAGAGGAAGAGCGACACTTCGCTCAGCACGAAACATTGTTATCCGCGGTATAATCTACCTTTGCTTCGCTGTATGTGCCAGCATAATCGTAAAATGAACAAATCCGGAGCTTCATTAAAATTTCGTTTTGTTCTTTCTTTCCCATTGTACACAATAAGGAGATGTAAAGAAACTTTCATTTCAGAAATCGAGAAATCCCCCCCCCGATCGAAGGAAACGCGGTAGGAATACGCGATGCGTATTATTTTAATTTCACCAAACAAAATCCACGCGGAAGTAAAGTACACCAATGTACAGAGTGTCACAAACCGATTTGTACCCACTATTTTCTGTGCAATAGCTCTTCCTACCCGAAAAGCGTATAGTGAAATGTTTAACGTCGCTTTATACGACATCGTGAGAAGCACGATGGAGAAAGGGTTGAAATTTTTTTAATTTCGCCCGACAAAACCCACGAAGGAAGTGTTACACAGAATGTCACAGATCGATTTGTTTGCAGTACCCGCTGCTTCCTATGCAATATAGGTGTGTTTCCTACCGGAGAAGCATTGTGGCGAGATGTTTAAACGCCGCTTTATACGGCACCGTGTGAGATACCCTCGTTTACATTACCTTCGCGGAGGCAAGAATTTCACGAGACGTTTTTCACCCACGTTACACACGTGAACAGGGTATCTGTCCACGTGATGAAATAAACGCGTGGAATGCGCTATATAAACGTCGCATTGTCGCTCGTGTCGCGCATACAAAGGCGATCTAAAGTGCGCGGAGCGATAATAAAAGTACCGAGACTTCTCCCATGAGCGTCCTCCTGCTATCAATTTGCCTTATTATTAGTGTTCTCACGTGCGCAAAAAGCCTTGCTGTTCGACCGGGATAATCTTTGACCTGCTGTAAACTAATTATTTATTCACGGGCGTCGTGCAAAATTGTCTCTTACATGTGACTACAGATTTTGTTAAAAGATATAGCGATTCGGTGAAAATTATCGTTCAAAAACATGTTCCATGCCAGTTGATGAATTTTGTAAAATTACGTCGAGAGATTGTTTTGAGAAATATTTTCTTGTTTATGTTTCTTGAGCGTGCCTCTTTAGAAAAAACGAATCTAAAATACATAGTCTGTGAAATAATAACAACTAATTACGTTTTACAAACTAGAAAAGTCAGTAGAAAAGGAGAAAATAATAGCGTCTACATAAGAATAGTTACAATGCGGAAATAACAAATTTGGCAAAATTCCTCTAAAATTATTCAAATTTGCAATGCAATGTGTGATGCAATATGACAGAAGCGGCCATTTCATTGTTACACAGTTATTTTTTCATTATATGTCACCATTTTCAAACGGTAGCAAACACCATATTTGACGTTTGTTACGTTTTTTCCCGAGCAAAACATGTCAATTGCGCAAATTTCCACGGATATGACAGAAAATTCAACAATAGCGTACAGCTCTTCAAAACTACTTTTTGAAAACAACGGATGTCGTTATTTGTTCGATTCTTGCACGTTCGATGAAACACGATCCGTGATCCTGAATATTTTCGTCGCGACATATTACACTAACGATCTGGTCAAGCCAGAGGAGCCGACAGGACGTGATCGTGGTGTGCGAGGTGCATGCGGCGCAGTAGCACACCGACTGAATATCACGTCGATCGTTCGTCGCAGTGACAACGCCGTAGATATGACGTCGCCCCGGTCGATTGCGGGCGGATGGTTCACAATTAGCAATTAAAATCGGCGGACTGGTCGATTGATTGGACCCGCGTGATACCCCCCATGGGCCAATCGACTTACCGATCATAATTGCCGACGCTAATTACAGAATAGGCACCGCTGCACGGTGCGTGATTAGCGCCTACCGCAACGCGTAGATCATCGCGTTTATTTTCTCGCCACGCCGATATCAACAGTGAAATGAGTAAGAATAGAGATTCGTCTTTAGCAACGTTGAAGCTTCATCTCGTTGAAATTCTATCTGTTTCGATAAAACGTCGCGCGACTGGCGGCGTAATTCGCGAACGGTCTACCGCACGTGTATTTAATGCGGGGTGCTTTAGAATGCAAAGCAACACATTGATATGCGCAGGATAAAAACTCGTGAAAGTCGTACTCACGTCGTTCTGGGCGAAGGTCGGCGTGATTGGCCCGTCGCTGGCTTCCCATTTGTCCGCGATGCGGATCGTCTCTGCCGTCTTCTGCTGCACCGATTTCGACTCGTCGAGCAGCGTCAGCTCGTAAAACTCCTGGATATCTGCAACAGTCCGGAAAAAAGGAAAAGACGTATTACCATCTGTCGGAGCGTCCGCGTGCGGAGATAAAATCTCCACGGACCGTGCCGGTTTCCCGGTCGGCCGAGAATTTCATTTCGTTTCTATCTAGCTGGCACCTTGTACGCTGCGTGAGAACGCTATGATAAATTGACACTCTTCGACCTGGGACTCAATTTAGTCCGTCCGTGTGCGCCAGTGCGAGAAACGAGTCAAAGAGACATGACAGGAATAATTGAAATACAACGGAATCGCGTCCGTTGTACAACAGCAGAATAATAAATCTGATGTTTTCCCTTAATATTGATTGTTATACATAGGTCATTCAAATGAAGCGCACGTTGTGCGCGAAGTTACAAGCCAAATAAACAGCTTTCGCACGTTGTTCGGTCGTCCAGGATCTTAACGGTCCTGACGCAGGTCCCGAGACGTGAACGTGAAACCGCGCGATAAGGCGGTCACATAATTTTCAATGGCTCCCGCTCGCGTAACTCGAGTGGACCCTCGAGCGGCGCGCGTCGTGGCGCCGCATTCTCGGATATATATCACCAGCGCCAGGATACGTCGGGCGCAGGTCGTCTGGGTCGAAGGAGCCCGTAATTCCTTGCCAGCGTGCTCGCTCTCGGCACGATGTAATGTTGCGAATGGGATAAGGCTGGCTCGTGACAATACGAGGATCGCGGAGCATTGCTTGGATTCGAGTAGGATTATTGGAAACTATTAAAAAATGAAATTTTTTCATCATATCGCGATCGCACTCTCTTCACATAATTTGGGTCAAGGACGTTGAAAGATGCAAAATATAAATTCTTATACTGAAATTCATTTCATTTATTTCGTTGTTGGCGTTAAAATTTACACTTCACGATTAAGTTATTTGTAGACTAATTATAACGAAAGGAAGAGAAGCAGTAAATAATTTTTTCAGATAAGAAATAAGAGAAAAATAGACGAGATATTTACATCAGATATCTGACTTTACAAAAATATTACATTTTCGCTTATAAATCTAATATTATAAAGTTTTTAATTAGTCGAATATTTTTCGAGAAAAATCGACAATTTTTTCATCCGTAAGATCTGCGAGTAATTGTTTGAAAAACGTTGATAAGCCGAACTTTTACAATTTAATTGCTTTTATGTGTACCGATAAGACGGAAACTGCACAGAAGATTCAATCTTCCTCTTAAGAAGAGCGTCGGCTATATCTGTGCGGTTTAATTCCTCTTCCCCGCGGACTCCATAATATCTTCGAGTTAAAATAATTTCCAGCGTAACCCGTAACTTTCAGCCGCTTATTGTGGCGAGCATTACTCTCAATTTCTTTGCCGGGCGAACGGGGGTGTCTTGCGCGTAGCAGTCGTTAATGAATTGAAATTACGGTTAGTGCTTTGAGGCATTGCTCCCGAGAGCGCCGCGTATTAATTGCTCCCGCGTGAGCAATTCCTAAAGGTAATTTCCAAGTTACATCATTACAGCACCTGTGTGTTTCGCGCAATACCGAGCTCCCTGTAATTACGCTCGTTAGTCGGTCAAGCGGGCTAAGTTTCTCCTTTCCGAGATAATGCGGCTGCTTCCACTTTCAGAAAAACCCCCGCCTTGTAAATTATCAAAGTAATTTATTATCGGTATATGCAAGCGGTTTGTAACGAAGAACTTCGTGATATGCTCCGTGTCTTCATATTTATTTTATCGATTTAGAAATGTTAACAATATTATTCAAATATTATTCGATTAAATGGCCGGAATAACTTTTCAACAGAATCGACAGCATCCTCGATGAGATCCGCAATCGATGAAATTATGTCACAAATGCTGATGAGAGATCACTATGTATTTTCTTTTAATTTCTGCGTTTTCTACGGTGATTTTACGCTGAAGAAGTGAATTTATTTTCCCGCTCTTATTTCCATATTCCAGCGATGATTGTAGAACTGCGCAAAAAAGGATGGTGCCAGTCCATTCGGTATGTTTAGCCGTTGATGTCTCGAAAGAACTTTTTTTCCCTTTACCTCTCTCGAGGCGCGTGTGAATACATGGAAAATTCCGAAATAAAAAGTTGCGAGTATTTGCAAAGTACTTGGTTCGTCAGTTGGGAGGAAACTTTAGGGTTTTGTCTTAATCAAATTCGTAAATTTGTGCGAACTTGCGCGTTTCTGTCAACGAAGCCGCGACGAAAATAATTTACTGCACGCGGAGGAGATTTTAAAATACTGTTAGCACTGCTGCTCTATACATTAGCTTCAATGCGGCAATAGCTGCTCAAGCAACGTCGTGCGCTTTCCTCGGAGCTGTCGGTAAAGGTGAAAGGGGCGGACCCTCGATTTGCTAAGGCGTCGCATTTCACGTTTGCGACGTAAAGAAATTTTGCAAGCCGCGCATCCGGATATTTACGGCGCCGGCGTCGTCGAGGGCGTCATTGCATTATAAATTTTCAAAGGCCGTCCTGATTCTACGATAAAAATGTACATCAATCCTATTCGGGCTGCCGGTGGCGGCCCCTTTTCACCATTTGCGCGACGACACTACCCTGTCTAAATATCACCCGGCGCATTTCTCACGTGGAATGCAAGAAATATCGGAGACTTATTTCAATCCTCCCGCTGCCGCGCGCGCGACGTTGACGTCGGTATGCAAAACGCGCGCAGAATTCTTTCCGATGACGAACACCCTGTGTATAGGCGGCGGCGCCTTCCCTGTGTGAATGCCGGCGCCGCCGTGACGAAACTTATCTGACGTTATACCTCCGTGAAAGAAAGAAAAAGATGCGAATGCTATTGCGAGCGAGCGAGCCACCGCCGCGTAAGAGGATTTATGTCTTAATCTCGGAATACAAAACGCGCGCGATAAGATAGAAATGTAAAGCCTCGCCGATTTTTCAAGTGGCGGCTATTTTTTAAAAAGATGATGAGAAACCATAAATGTGATGCTGCACTGAATTCAGAAAAGTCCGCGGTAAATTTTATGAAAATTATAAAACTGCATTATGCAAAATTAACGATTTAGCGGTACTTTGAAAAATTGTTCTCGTAACCAGGAGGTACGTGAAAAATCCTTTTTTCAAATTCACGCGCAGTTTTGCAGCACTCTACGGCGCTGTGATTAGAGATGTCATCATAATGCATAATGATAATTGATTGCAAGGCAATCACACGGTCCCTCGTAGTATCGTCCCTTTATAATTAGCCCAATGTAACCGATGCCATCGCGGTTCGCTCTCTTATTAGGCCAATGGGTGGGATTGCAATTAGAGACGCAGCTATATCGATAATCGATGCACGACGTTGATGGGGATGGAATAATAATTAGATTATTGGTACTTAAATCCAATTCGCAATATACACAATAGCAATAGCTCTGTTGCTTGGATATCGCAATTGGGCCATGTTGATGTTTCACTTACGTCATGTATATTCATATACACATATATTCGGTGACATCATATTCGCACGTGTTGTCACAGTTGTAGCTTCCAATTATTTTAACCCAGATTCGTGTAACAATATCCTTGCCAAAAAGCATCGCTCAAGCAATATCATTTTGTTAGATAAAAAAAAAAAAGTAAAAAAGATATGCAACCGGCATGATTGAAATACAAGTGACAAAATGAGCAATTCGGAATTTCTCGAGATTTTATCTAGACGTTGCGTAGTAGAACAGGCGCGACCACAAGTGATTTTCTTTTTTCTTCCCTTCCGCGATTTATTTTACACGCATACTCCTATTTTTCCTACCGCGCGACTGTCGACCGCAAAGTGCGTGCGACGAAAAAAAAAGTTGCAACTGCGCGCGTTCAGGAAAAATATCACTAGTCTGGGTTTTCGTTAATTTTCCACCGTTTCGCCTGCCCTCCCCCTCACAGTCTTCCGTGCTAGATCTGCCAGAGAGTTACACTTTTATTTTTTCAACCTCCCCCCCCTTCGCGGAATTACGAGCGCAGTGCTTTATTATGTATTATGGCGGTGCATTAAAAAATTTGTGTCTTCTACAATAGTGCCGTGCGAAAAAAAGGCCGAGAGAAAAGGCGAGATTAAATTTGCATGGTACCGGTTGACGTCGAGGTTTTTTTAATGTTTCGGCAGCTGGAATACTTTTGAATACTAATGCTTCTCACGTCTGACAAACGCATTTTTTTTGTTTATTAGATAAATGTAACAACATGTCAAAAACCCATTGCTGCGTAAACTTTCTGGAATTTCCGTCGCAATACGTCGTCGAAATGAGATAACGCCGTTACATACGCGTAAATATTCATACATATTAATTTTAGTTTTCCCACGCGTATTTCGTATTTAAAATAATGAAATGCGACCGTAAAACAATGGCAAAATAATGCAAAATAAAATAAATTTTATTCAATAAAACCATCCGTATTTTAATTCAAAGTATCTACCATTGGACACATAATTTTTTCGGAAAATTTCAAATCTATGGCTTTAATAAGAGAAAAATTTCCGTCTTTGTGAAAAAGCGCTACGATTAAACCTAATCCGATGGTGGAAGCAAATTTCCGCACACGCGGTGTTAGCGGAACGAGAACGGAAGAGTTTACAGTTCCCGACGTAGAAATCCACTACACACATTGGAAGGTTAAACGCTTCGGGCGCGCGGTACGACAGAATTAACATTTTCCTTCCATTCCTCATTCATCCATCGCCTCAATCGAGGAAAAAGTCAAGCGCGATTCCACTTTCCCGCTCGACACCTATTCGCCGATCTTCATTTCCGACATTCGTCCGCCATCATTTCGTCCTGGCCATTTTCGCCGACAGTGGAAGCGCTGTACAAACGTTTACACGACGAATAATTTTTAATTTCCCGCAGTTTCCGGTTCCATATAAAAAGATCGTTACGAGACCATCTCGTATCCCTCCTCATTCTCGCATTTCTTCTTCTTTCTCGAAAGTGAGAAAGTTGCCGAGTGGGAACAGCAGGAATGGAAGTTATTTACAGAAATAGCGCATCTCGTACGGGCAGGTCTCCA